ACACTGAACTCAACTTCTCATCTGTCCCACCAGGGTAATCCCCTTTCTCATCTACCCCACCTCTGTAGCCCCTGCTCTTCTGCCCCACCACTGTACCCCCCTGCTCTTCTGTCCCACTACTGAACCCACTACTCACCTGTCCCAACTCTGAACCCCCCAGCTCTCCTGCCCCCCCCCCCCCCCCTCAGTGCAGCTGCAGCACAGGCAATTCTGAGATCAGAATGCATTAGTGTGGCAGAAGCTGTGTTCACTGACACTTCCATGTGCTGCTCTGCTGATGGGGAGTTGCTGGGGGTTGTCTCCCCCTGATCAAAGGGCTAAACTCTGATCTGCAGATGATGCCAGTTAAAGCAACCTGACAAGTAAAAAAAAAGTTTTTTTTTCTTCTTTTTTTTTAAGAAAATGTTTCTCTGTTTAACCACTTATTAACCCTCAGTTTACTCTAATCAGCCTAATTGCGCTGAGCAAACATTTTAGCGCTATATAAATACTGTATAATAATAATTACCCACTTTCCATCCACCCTACAGCAGATTTACTGCTACAGGGGAGATATTCTGTGCAAAATCATGAATATAATCACATGATTGGGGCACAGCAGAAGCCAATTAACAGGTGCCTTCCAAAGGATGAGCACTGCCACCCATTGATCATCCACGAGACTGACAAGAACACAGCACATCTTATGTAAACAAGGCAGAGCTGTGTTCTATCAGTGACAATCTGCTAGATTTTATTTCCCTGGAAAGCAGGGAATACAATCTAGCAGATTGCCTAGTAAAAGCAGCACACACAGTACACAAAGCACATAGCTAGGTATACAGTTAACCCCTTCCCTAGATGTTTACCCCTTCCCAGCCAGTGTCATTAATACAGTGACAGTGTATATTTTTATCAATGATCACTGTATTAGTGTCACTGGTTCCCACAAAATGTCAGTTAGTGTCAGACTGTCCACTGCAATATCACAGTCCTGCTTTAAGTTGCTGATCGCCGCCATTACTAGTATGAAAAGAAATTCTAGTATAGATACATAGTTTATAGGTGCTGTACCTTTTGCACAATCCAATCAATATACGCTTATTGGGATTTTTTTTTACCGAAAATATGTGGCAGAATACATTTTGGCTTAAATTTATGAAGAAATTCGATTTTTTTTAATTTTTTGTTATTAGATATGGTTTATAGCAGAAATTAACCACTTCCCGTCCAGCCCCTGTATATAAACGGGCCGGACGGGAGCAGTGCAGGGGCGGGTAGCCATTTATAAACATCCTCCCCGCTTGTGCGTGCTCCCTGAGAGCACTCAGCACCGCAATCCAGTGCCCACTGGGACACCGATCATGTGATCACTGATTGGCCAATCAGTGATCACATGAAGAGTAGTAAGCAAGATGTCACTTCTGACATCATTGCTTACTACCTGTGAAATCTGTGAATGATTACAGAGATCACATGGTACAAGGCTATTCACAACAGCCCTGTAACATGTGACAAGCTGGGACCAATCACAGCTCACACAGTATTTCTCAATGGCTGCAAGAAAGCAGCCAGAGAGAAGGAGAAATGATTGCTTTTACAGCCTTTATGGGTGTAAAAGCAATCAGTGTAAAAAAAAAAAAAAAAAAAAAAAAATTTTTTTTTCATCACCCCCCACAAGTAGTGGGTGACAGTATGTTTAAAAAAAAATAACATAAATAATAACATAAAAAAATTAAATAAAAAAAATATTTAGAAAAATTATAATTTTTGGTTAAACTAATTTGGGGTATTTTTTTTTTTACTAAAAAGATAACTGAATACATTTTGCCCAAAATTTCTGAAGAAAGATTATCTATTTGCAAAATTTTATAAGAAAAACACTTTTTTTTTCAAAATTTGTGGAATTTTTAATTTATATAGCAAAATAAATAAAAATCCCAGTGGTGAATAAATACCACCAAAATAAAGCTTTATCTGTCTCAAAAAAACTCGGCCTTACCATGCGGAGCTGCATAGGGAGTCCCTCCAGCACTTACCTTGTCCTTTGCTCCCGCGATGTGTCCCCTGCAGCATCCCTGGCCATCTCCTCCGGCTGATGCCGGCATCCGGCTTCTGTGTTCCGGTCCCTGTGACGTCGGGACGTACGGGCGCCGCTGGCGGCGGGAAATTTGAAAATTTAAAAAAAATTTCATTTTTTTTCCAAACAAATTTTACATAGTAAAACATTGCTGTTTCAACCCATTTCACACACATTTTGTCCCGAGTGCTTTGTCCGGCGCCCTGCCTGCATTTTGACTGTTCTTTCTGCCTGGAAACTGAGAAATGTCCATGGCGTCCAAAAAGCGTCCCTTTAGGTCAAAAGCGGTTTTAGACCGGCTAGAGAGAACAGCGATAGTAAATCAGAACCACTTGCAGAATTGAGTGATAATGATTTGTGGGGGAAATTCATCATCAGACACTGAAAACGATTCTGCGACTTTGCTCAGTGATGTGCGAACTTGGCGCTATATTTCACATTTCAGTGTTTTTGGTTTGATTATATTATTGAATTAAATGTATTATTATTATATTATTTTTTATGATTATTTATTATATTATAATTTATGATTTCGTGTTTCAAATTTTATCCTACCCGGGATGTTGTTGTTCAGACAGATTTCAGTGAGTTATTCCTAAAAATTACAGCCTACAATAAAAAAACGACATATTTCCATGCAAAAAAATGGTACCAAAAATCTGAAATAATCATACCGCCGAGGAGGTTAATACACTTTTAACTATAAAACAATAAAACTCTCCCTGCAAAATGAACTGTTAAGGTATCTGTTAGACCAGCTTTTCTCAACCAGGGTGCCTTGAGGATTTCTTCAGGGGTGCCTTGGCAAAATGTCTAAAAATTGTCCAAAACTTGTAAACAAGCCAGAGGGTGGAACAAGCCTGCCTTTTAGTTACACAAAGCCACAGGTTTTCATTGTGCACCATTACGACCTTCTAGCCGCCGGTGTCCTGACAACCAATGACATCATCAGTTGATAAGGAGGATGTCGGCTGCCTGCACAGCATCCTAGTTTGACCCTCCCCTGCCCCCCTCCATCAGTGCTGGGGTCACATTAGCTCATTGATGGAGAAAAACTGAGGGAGAAGAGAAACATTGGAATACTAGTCAGTACCAGTGTGCAAAAGTGTATTTGTTTTTGAAAGAATGAGTCCCCTCTAATGTTGGGTGTCCTACATGTGTGGATGTTGTGTTATATGAAACTATTAGAATAGTTTTTCACATTTTAGAATGGGGTGCCTCCAGACTGTCCAAAAATTTTAAAGGGTGTCTCGGGACTGTCCATAATTTTAAAGGGTGTCTTGACTGAAAAAAAGGTTGAGAAACATTGCTTTAGACTGTAAATTGATAAAGATCTAGGAATTACTGTAATTACATTGACATGCAAAATCTTCAGCCAATAAAATAAATAGCACCTAATTGATTAACCACCTCCCGTCCTGTTTATAAATGGCACCCGCCATTTTGGACTGTGCTCCCTGGGAGCGCGCAGCACCGCGATCCGGTGCCTGCTGTGTCCTCCATACACAGTGGAACATCAATCGTTGTACGGGACCTCTGTGCGAGGTCCCGATCATGTGATCACTGATTGGCCGATCAGTGATCACATGCAGAGTAGTAAGCAAGATGTCACTTCTGACTTCATTGCTTACTACGTGTGAAATCTGTGAATGATCACAGAGGTCACATGGTACAAGGCTATTCACAACAGCCTTGTACCATGTGACAAGCTGTGACCAATCACAGCTCACACAGTAGTTCTCAATGGCTGCAAGAATGCAGCCAGAGAGAAGAAGAAATGATTGCTTTTACAGCCTTTATGAGTGTAAAAGCAATGTGTAAAAAAAAAAAAAAAAATCTTCATCACCCCCCACAAGTAGTACAGTATCACCATGGTGACACTGTACTGCTAGGGTGACAGTATGTGGAAAAAAACATAAATAATAATATAAAAAAATAAAATAAAAATGTAAAAAAAATTTTTTTAAATTATAATTTTTGGTTATAAACTAATTTGGGTTATTTTTCTTTTTTTTACTAAAAAGATAACTGAATAAATTTTGGCCAATATTTATGATGAAATATTATTTATTTGCAAACATTTATAAGAAAAACACTTTTTTCACAATTTTTGGACTTTTTCATTTATATAGAAAAAAAAATAAAAATCCCAGCGGTGAATAAATACCACCAAAATAAAGCTTTATCTGTCTAAAAAAAAAAGCTAAAAAATTCATATGGGTTCAGTGTTGCATGACCACACAATTGTCATTCAAAGTGTGAAAGCATTGACAGCTGAAAATTGGCCTGGGCAGGAAGGGGGTAAAAGTGTCCGGACATGAAGTGGTTAATATAGTGGCCACAGAGAGGGTTAGTGTGAAGGGGGTGAAAGTGTCCGGATTTGAAGTGGTTAAAGCTGAAAATATATTCCTCAAAGCTTTAGTCACATGACTTACCTGTAATGAAGTCTATCCTCTGTTGTGCAGGTAGCTATAGCCGGAGAAATCTTCACTTCAGGGATGCCCTGTCCTCTTCCTGTCTCTGTACTTCTGGCACTGCATTGGTTAACAGCTTCAGGTTTTTAGACAGAACAGCAGTACAGATGGCCCACAGGGGTCCAACTACTTTCTCCTCATTCTTTCAGAACATTTATATCATTGCTTACACGGCCTGTATACAACTCCAGTTTGAACCATTGCATTCCAGACTGGTTTCAAATGCATTTTAAATACAGATTTAAATGGTGACGCTCATCAACTTTATATCAGGGGCGGACTGACCATTTGGAAACTCGGGCACTGCCCGAGGGCCCGGGGTCAGTAGGGGGCCCCATGAGATGCCCCTGGTACCTTTTTCATAGGCTTTTTTGAGTTTGGGCAAGGACACAGGGGCCCCATGATCCCCTTTGCCTGGGGGCCCCATGAATTGTCAGTCCACCCCTGCTTTATATACAACCACTTACACACCATATTATGCACACTGTGTTGTTTTCTTCAGCTTTGACATCATTCCTGGCTGTATCTGTCCAGATTGGTCTGAAGTCACCATTTTTAGTGATCTTGAGATGTTCTAAAGCTATAATATTTCCTGTCCATAAGAAAATTGAGATGTATAGGTTGCTGCATTAATTGTGTTGGCAGCACCTCCATTTTTTTCAAATGTATTGTTCACAATTTGATACGGTGTTATTGTCTCCTCTCAATAGATGCACCTCTGATTACACCCAGCGTGCTACGTGCAGACTCTGAAGAAACCATTGTAGTAGATGGACACAGTTCAGCATTTGAAGTTGACTACATCATCCAGGATTTCCCTGTTAAAAACTTAAATACTTGCTCATGGCAAGATCGCTATGAACAGTGGAAACCAAAACCTGGGAACGGCCAAAGTAACGGTAAGGCCTTAGGGAAATTCTATCTCCAGTCCACCCGTGAAGTATATTTCGGGGCTTTCTTTGTCCACTTTTATTGAAAAGTCAAAGTTCCTTACAGCAGGATTCCCACACAAGGGCTTTAACTTCATACAGCATTTCAAAGCAAAAACGGAACTTCCTGGCTACAAAACAGCCCACCTTGGGCTACACAGTTCTCAGCCTAGAACACAGGTTCCCAATCCAGAACACAATGGTGTTCACACGCTGCAGCAACTGTAACTCCAAGTTTTGATCTGGTCATTGCAGACAAACACCACTTCCCTTGTCGGTCCATTCACCTGCTGCTCCCTGGCAGTACAATAGTCTCTTTGGGAGGGTAGAACCCTAATCCAGTTAGCCCCTAGGTCAGTGATGGCGAACCTTTTTGAACCCGAGTGCCCAAAACTGCAACACAAAACCAACTTTTTTATTTCAAAGTGCCAACACTGCAATTAACCACTTGCCTACCGGGCACTTCTACCACCTTCCTGCCCAGACCAATTTTCAGCTTTGAGTGCTGTTGCACTTGACAATGACAATTGTGCAGTCATGCAACACTCATTTTTTTCACACAAATAGAGCTTTTTTGGTGGTATTTAAACACCACTGGGTGTTTTATTTTTTGCACTATAAATGAAAAAAGAGCAAAAAATTAAAAACATAAAAGGTTTTCTTTGCTTCTATTATAAAATTTTGCAAACAGGTAATATTTTTTCTTTGATGTGCGTTGGTGAGGCTGCACTAATAGGCAGCACTGATGGGCATTGATGAGGTGGCACAGATGGGTAGCACTGATGAGGCAGCACTGGTGGGCATTGATGAGGAGGCACTGACGATGCACTGATATGCAGCAATGATGGGCACTGATAAGCGGCACTGACTGATAGCACCAACTGGAGGCACTGACAGACGGCACTGATCGGCGGCATTGCTGGGCATCATTGATGGGTGGCACTGCTGGGCAGCACTGACAGGTGGCACTGCTGGGCAGCACTGACAGGTGGCACTGCTGGGCAGCACTGACAGGTGGCACTGCTGGGCAGCACTGACAGGCGACACTGCTGGGCACTGACGGGTGACACTTCTGGGCACTGATGGATGACACTGCTGGGCACTGCTGGGCATCATTGATGGGTGGCACTGATGGGCGACACTGCTGTTCAGCACTGACAGGTGGCACTGCTGGTCAGCACTGACAGGTGGCACTGCTGGGCAGCACTGACAGGCGACACTGCTGGGCACTGATGGGTGACACTTCTGGGCACTGATGGATGACACTGCAAGCAGTTAATCTCACCTCTGGCAGTGTTGGTGTGGCTTCCAACCCAGCAGCTCATTCCCATCCACGCTGAACACGTTGCCCCTGGCCCCGGAGCAGTGTGGGAGCCTCTTCCTCTCTTCCACGCCCATCCCCGGCTACATCACCCCTGGTGCCAGATCCGCATAGGAGCCGTTTCCTCTCGTCCACACCCACCCTGGCCCCAGAGACATGTGGGAAATGTAGTTTGATGGGGGTCCAGTGTGGACAAGATCTGGATGGCCGGTCAGTGTGCGTGGTCCGTGTGCGCTCATCTTCCTCTTCTTCCTGGCGTGCCCACTGAGATGGCTCTGCGTGCCATAGGTTCGCCATCACTGCCCTATACTATACACTCACTGGCCACTTTATTAGGTACACCAGTTCAATTGCTCAGTAACACAAATTGCTAAATTTGACGACTTGCTGAAGTTCAAACTGAGCATCAGAATGGGGAAGAAAGGGGATTTAAGTGACTTTGAACATTGCATGGTTGCAGATCTACTGGGATTTTCACACACAACCATCTCAAGGGTTTACAGAGAATGGTCCAAAAAAGAGAAAATATCCAGTGAGTAGCAGTCATGTGGATGAAAATACTTTGTGGACATCAAACACACTTCCCTTGTAGGTCCATTCACCTGCTGCTCCTTGGCAGTACAATAGTCTCTTTGGGAGGGTGGAACCCTAATCCAGTTAGCCCCTATACTATACACTCACCAGCCACTTTTTTAGGTACACCAGTTAAATTGCTCGGTTACACAAATTGCTAACCAGTCAATCACATGGCAGCAACTCGGCGATGTGGTGAAGACGGTTTGCTGAAGTTCAAAGCGAGCATCAGAATGGGGAAGAAAGGGGATTTAAGTGACTTTGAACATTGCATGGTTGCTGATCTACTGGGATTTTCACACACAACCATCTCTAGAGTTTACAGACAATGGTCCATAAAAGAGAAAATATCCAGTGAGTGGCAGTTGTGTGGATGAAAATGCTTTGTTGATGTGAGAGGAGAATGGGTAGACTGGCTTGAGATGATAGAAAGGCAACAGCATGTTCAGAATTTGGCATAAACAACATGAAAGCATGGATCCATCCTGCCTTCAGGCTGGTGGTGTAATGGCGTGGTTGATATTTTTTGGCACTAGCAAGGTGTACCTAATAAAAGTGGCTGGTGAGTGTAAGTACTGTGTACATCTGCACAATCAGAATAGTGGTTGTCCTCAAAACCTAGACCCAGGATTGGACACTTCATCCGTCTCTACGAAACCTCCAGCCTCCAGGACCCAACTTCAATCCAGTGTCCTCTGTATAAACACAAGCACCCTGGAGCCCCTCAACCTGCCTGGATGAGAACCCTAGCTGTCATAAAACACTTTTTATACTGTTTTATATTTTTTATACACGTTTCTTTCAAACTATACAAAAGGGACAATCAGATGTAAGCAAGGGCGGACTGACCATTGGGAAACTCGGGCACTGCCGAGGGCCCGGGGTCAGTAGGGGGCCCCATGAGATGCCCCTGGTACCTTTTTTTCATAGGCTTTTTGAGTTTGGGCAAGGACACAGGGGCCCCATGATCCCCTATTGCCCGGGGGCCCCATGAGTTGTCAATTCGCCCCTGGTTACAGAACAGGTTAATGTTAGGGTTGGGTTCTTGGAAAGATTAATGTTAGTGTAAAGTTTGTGGTTTTGGTGGAGTTTAATATTACAAGGATTGATGTGAGGGCTACTGGGAAAATTAGTGTTACAGGAAGGGTTAAAGTAAGGGCTGGGATTACAGAGAAGGTTAGTGTGGGGGTTAAAGGGGGAGTTATTATAGGTTTTGGAGTTACGGGGGGGGGTTAGTGTGAGGGTTACAAGGAAAGCTAAAGCTAAGGCTAGTTGGGTAAATTGGGATTACAGGGAGTTAGTATTAAATTGGGGTTGTAGAGAGGGTATTTCAAGTAGAGGGATCTTAATAAATGAGGAGAACTTAGAAAAAACATTTTTTTTTCATATGTGTGTATGTTGAATGAATAGAATGTTGAAGCGGAGTTTCCGGCCCCTGCCACCTTCCCAAAAAAAAATTAAAAGTCAGCAACTACAAATACTGTGGCTGCTGACTTTTGATAGTAAGACACTTACCTGTCCATGCGTCCAGTGGTGTCCTCATCCTGAGCCGATTCTTCAATAGGCTGTCGGGTGCTGGCACTGACATCTTGACTAAGGGAAAGTGGCGGTGAAGCCTCACGGCTTCACCGCCGGTTTCCTTCTGCGCTACTCTTTGTCACTCGGCTGCAGTCCTCTGGGACCTTGGAAGTGTCCCAGAGGGGTGCTGTGGCAAAGTGATCCGGAAGTGGGAGTGGGTACCTATCGAAACCAGTTACCTGCTCCCCCCAAAAGGTGCCAAATGTGGCAGCAGAAGGGGGGGGGGGGGAGGCAGAAAAGCAGAGCTTCCACTTTTGGGTGGAACTCCACTTTAAGTTTTAATTTTGTATATACTTTTATTATATACTTGAGTTCAGGCCTACATATGCCTGGCTTCAAAGAGGAGCTGGAACCTCCTATCCTCCCAGTAAGGTGGTTTCTTAGCATTTATTTGGATGTGCAGGTCCCACGGAACTACACCCATGACCAGCTATACAACCAGCCATTTGAGGGTCTTAAAGATCAGTTAAGAGCAGGGGCGGACTGACAACTCATGGGGCCCCGGGGCAATAAGGGATCATGGGGCCCCTGTGTCCTTGCCCAAACTCAAAAAATCCTATGAAAAAGGTACCAGGGGTATCTCATGGGGCCCCCTACTGACCCCCGGCCCCCGGGCAGTGCCTGAGTTTCCAAATGGTCAGTCCGCCCCTGGTTAAGAGTTGATATAAGCACACTGTGACAGTCAGTGACGGGACAAGGTCATCCAGTGCCCAGGGCAAAGATACCAAACTGCATTCATGATGTTCAGGTTTATGGGATACTACGCCCAGCAGTCACTCACTTGTCGAAATCACTGTACAGCTCCGTTTTTAACACAAGTCATATGCTTGTGTGGATGACTATCCATTCCTGGCCTATTTTGGACACTTATTCACTCGGTGGTGCAGGCTGTGCTCCTGATTTAGTCAAGGACTGAATCGTCCAGTGCTTATCTGTTCCTGTCCTAATTTATCATTCTAGCTTTGGAATGTGCGCACACTGGAAGAGACTCACGCTGACACACAAGTTCAGTCTATGAATACTTCTAGTTTATTATAATGAGAAAGTGAGCTTATATATGCAGAATGATGCAAAAGTCATGTGACAACAGCATAAGCATTATATTAGTCTTTGAATGGTCATTTCCACACGAAAA